CCAAAATGACTGAATTATTATTAGTGAATTTAAATTATTAGGTTCTCTAATTCAACTCACTGATTCAGCGATCGAGTCGCAGCAGTTTGTGAGCTCACTGCTGTATGTTCTGATGAACATAATTTCATTATGTTCATCACAAAAACCAACCGTGTAACTTCTAAAGGTCTGTAATATTATGCATAAATCCAATCGACTACTTTGTGATATGTTTTGCATCTTTTTGTCCCTTTGGAAGTTACAAGATGTGGTCAGAATGAACCGTCGTTGAAAGGAGCTGCATTCTATGGAGGCCCAAACTTGCAGAAATTAAAAACAAACAAATAAATAAATGTATTCAATGTATTCATTCCCCCATTGGGCGCCCTTTCTGGTCAGGGCCACTGAAATTGTCCTAAGCTTCCCCCAGTTATGGTGCCCCCTGTACTGCTGCTCTGAGAGTTCATGTACCTGCATGTTGTTTGAGATGCCCTCTCTGTCAGACAGCAGCTCTGACAGACTCTTTGTGCCCAGGACATTTCGCAGGGTGGTCTGTGCCAACAGCTGTGTTGCATGGTCTGCATTGGACACGTTGGCCACGGAACAGATCGGGTCAAAGACACGAAAGTACACCACACCATCCACACTTACGGTCACGGAGTCCTTTGTCAGGAACTGTTCTCACATAAACACAGATACTCATCTTTTCATGTACTGATCCAAAACTTTACATTATGTATTCAGATTTAGCTTGCCAAATCTTGTTTATTTAACATTCTATTGGTATGCCGGTTTAATTTGGCAAACTTTGTATTGTCATAAGAGCTATGAAAAATTTTTTTTTGTTCATTAAATTAAAGCTGAAATAAAATAAAACATAAATATTAGATGAAAAACTTAAACTTGAAATTTTAAATAATTGTAAATATTTTAAATGTTCACTATACATATATTTATGTGTATATATTATATTTATTTTTATATTTTAAATAAAATAAATCAAATGAAATATTTTAAACAAATTAAAATGAAAGCTATAAAATAAAAGCTAATTAAAAATATTTAAAAAATGCTGTAATAGTATGTACATTATATAATTAATAATATAATATATAATACGTGCCTCTTGAGCAGGAATATCAAATGTCACCGTTCTCAAGTCCACCTTCCTGAATGTATCAGTACATGGCAGCACAAAGAAAATTCCTATAATATGTATAAATAATATACAAATGTAGACAGTTATATATTTAAATCAATTAAAATGAGGGATGCACTTTATTCATAACATTAAATTATAACAAAAAACAATATTTAAATGAGAAACTTTGTCATACCAGGTCCTTTTGGTTTCTTGTCCACAATACGACCTAATCGAAAGATCACAGCCCTTTCATACTCCTTCACAATCTAAGAGTGGAGTACATTGTACATACAGTCATCATTTACATAGATGATAATTACTGTATTGAACAATACATTGATTGTCTGTGGAAAATCTACCTTGATGCACATAAACATGGTAACAGGAAACAATCCTATAGTGATAATGATGGCGATAAAGATAATGAACCAGCCAAAGCATCCCAGCGAGGGAGGTTTATCATCTGTAAGACATGGAGCCAACATGAATTATGCTTGAATATGGTACACTTTGTCTCATGACTGTTTTTAAAAACATAAGAGACACACATCCCACATTCCTTTTCTAAAAACTATTAGATATCACCTCAGCTGCATTAATATTGATCCATTTTTAAATTAACTAATTTATGTTACCAAAGCATAATATTTATTTGTCTGCTATATCTACTAACTTGTAACATTTTACAATCATGTTACTAACTACTTTTACCCAAAATCAATCAATCAATCAATTTTGACATTTTTCTTCACCATTATGGAAAGACAAGAATCAGTTTTCCAAATAAAAATTTCATATTGAAATTAGTCAGCTCAGCCTTCATTCCAGTTACTCAAAAAAAAAAGTACAACATAAAAATTAAAAATAGCCACAACATTTAATGTACATTTAAACATTATTAAAGAAGCCGTTTGAAATCTGCTTGTGAAAGTTGTAATACATGCAAACCAGACATTATGAAAATGCCCTGATATTGTTTAATCAGTGGGATATTACATGTCTTTTTAACTGTAGACTGAATGTCAGGTAAACATATCAAATACCACTGAGACACTTCTGCTGACTTAACGATCATGCTTAACTGTACGTTTCACTCTCCTTATGAACTTAGTCATGAAAGACTGAACTTAGGGTAAAACTGTTGCCATGTGGCATTGTTATTATACAATATATATTTTTTCGATTTTATTGCCATTTTTCAAGTTACAGTTTAAAAAATTGTAATATTTATTTAGAATATTTTAAAGATTTTGTTCAAGATACAGAAACGTATAAAGGCATACCTTGTATTATATGTCTGCTACTCTCAGTCTGCTGGTTTTGGACCCTGATTACGGTGGTCATTTTGAAGAGCGCTACAAACTTGAGATGTTTTGCTGCAGACAGCAGGTAACAGGAGCTTGCAATATGTGCTCACCTTCCCATAAGGGTGTGTCCTGCTTCCCATTAGACCAGGTGCATGCAGAGCAAAACTGGAGGAGAGGAAAATTCTGACTCATTTCATATCAGATGTGAATACCATCAACCTGTATATTATGAGGTGCAAAATAAATTATTTTCAAAATAGTTTTGCAGGCAGTTTTTTTTTTTTGATCAAATATTGTTATAGCTGTAGTAGGACATTTATAATTCATATATTTCTGGATATGGCAGTGGAAATATGAGCTGTGAAATAACACGACAAATGCTGATATATGATTAGATATAACCTGTGTGTTGTGTTCTCTAAACTGAAATTCCAGTATCATATTATTGCTGTAGCTATTGGTTGAAGCTAGACCTTGTGAACACTTTTAGCCCCTTTTGGCAGAGGTTTGCTCCTCCATGCGGATGATTGTGGACAATATTGTATGTATGCAATTTCCTACAAAATCTGTCTGGATATATCTAAATTGTTTCATTTTATCAAAGTCTATTTAGGTACTATGGAAGCCCGTTTCCGCCACTGAATAAAAAATATAAAAGGTAAGAAAAGGTGAGAAAAAAAGTTAGAATTGCGAGATATAAACTCACAATTGCGAGTTATAAAGTCAGAATTGCGAGATACAAACTCGCAATTACGAGAAAAAAAAAGTCAGAATGGCAAGTTTTTATCTCGCAACTGTGACTTTATATCTGGCAATTATGACTTTATAACTCGCAATTGTGAGTTTATATCTCGCAATTCTGTGAAAAAAAAGTCAGAATTGTGAGATTAAAAAGTCGCAATAACTATTTTTTTTTATTTTATTAGTGCCGGAAACGGGCTTCCATAAGGTACAGACATGGTTTGTATTTTTTTTTTTTGGCATGTTGGGGCAGGTTGTCACATGTATTTTATATATACACTATTTTAATTGAAATTTCAGTTTGCCAAAACCATGGTTTGATGTTTCTTGTAATATGACATTTACATTTTCTTTGTCATTCATCTACGTTTTCTTTCATAACGTTTGTATACCTTTGGTAGATTGTATATTTTATCATCTCTAGTTAGAAAAAAAAAAAGGATTTTGTAGGATTTTGTAGCTTGACTTAATTATTTGATTATCCTTAAATATTTAAAATGTTATTAATATTTATAGTTTTTCTCTCATTAAAGCAGCACTATGTAACTTTTGGTGCTCTAGCGGTTAATAAACAGAACTGCACACATCCCGCGGAAGAACATTCCAACCGGAGCTACTTCTCTAAGTTTATGTCTATGGCGATTCACGCAGGTATGTGTTACTCCGCAGCGGTGACGACCCGACCAGGCTACAATAGCCCAAATATAAGTACTTATTATAAGTGTACCGTAGTGATTCGGAATAAGACAAAAACGTGGTTTGGAAGATGAATTCATGATGTACTCGCTCATTATATACAATTTGCAAATTTTGAACACAGAAAACGTTACATAGTGCTGCTTTAATAAAATATAGAAATGAATTAATATTGAAAGTATTACTTTGTAAATAATTCAAAATATTTCATAAAGCCCACACATTTGTCAAACATAGGCCTTTTCAGCCTTCAAAGTAGTTCAGATATGTGTATACCAAGACCTCATTAATAAGGCAACACCGCAGAGCTTTGGGTCTTGAGAGTCACATGTAATCAAGAGCAACTCACCATAGAGACAGGCTGTGTGTAAACGGTAGACTTTGGGGGTAAAACATTACAAGCAACGCGAGTTACGTAATCAGATTACTTTTTTCAAGTAACTAGTAAAGTAACGCATTAATTTTTAAGTTACAAGAGAATATCTGAGTTACTTTTTCAAATAAGTAACGCAAGTTACTTTTTTTTCCCAATTTATTGACTGACAGCTCTCCTGTCCCCATGTTGAGAGAAATCAGATGTTACTGTAGTTCTAAAATAAATATGAATATGCATTAATTCATCTCACTCACAAAAAAAAAAACCACAGATTCAATATTCCTTAAAATGAATAAAAATAATGCAACTCAGAACATGACGCAAACCTGCAATAATTCAATGTTAAACAACACAAATATCCTTTATGTATTTAATCCCATTCTATTAACCAATGTCTTTGCTTCTGACCTTCGATGATCCAGTTCAACCATACTAATAAGCACAAATTACTCTAGATAAACATTTGTTTGTCTTGTTTTATTGCTGAAGTGTGTTGAAATTTCTTCTTCTGCATTCTACTGTACGGACGTAAATGTACTTTCCCTTCAGCCTGAGGCTTATTCATTTCACTTTTGGTGTGAAAAGGCTTTTATATTTGCCAAAAATAGAACTTTTTTATTTTAAAAACAAACAAGCAAGCCCTGTCCAGATTTAAAAAGTAAGGCAAAAGTAACGTAACGCATTACTTTCCATAAAAAGTAACTAAGTAATATTGTAATGCATTACTTTTAAAAGTAACTTTCCCCAACACTGACGGTAGATATATATACCTATATATAAATGGAAAAACTTTTCTTGGCATTATGACATTATGTGTTGTCTCCTGTACTGCATACTGTATTCAGTAGTATTGCTGCCTATGATATCACACAATCCAGTACGCCCACTAACTAATAGAACTGGTATTATATGACTATATTTAAAACAATTATTTAAGTTGAGTAATGCAAAATGAATTGTAACATTTTTATAGCATCAGCTACTTCCTGGAAGAATGAAGATTTAACTAAATAAATTGCTTTCCCTGTTTGCTAACATGTGACCAGCAGATATGGATGATAAGTCATTGGTCTTAAAAGCTGAATCTTTCAGAGAATCTTGCAGACTGGACTCATTGTTCAAACTGTTGCATCATTATCTTGCGGCTGACTTCATATGCTAAAAAGAGTGCTCCATTGGCAGGAAATGTTCGGATCATAGTTGGGGTCAAACCGGAATACAGAGGCGCCACTCCTGCAAACAAGATGGCAGAATATAACACACTGCAATCAAAAATAAATTATTTAGTTTTATCATATGATGCAGTTATCAATCTGACAACAGTGGCGATGTCCATTATGTGTTATATCAGTGTCCTCATGTCGTACTATACTGATACTATTAATACTGTATCATACGAATGTTAAAATGAAATGCTAACTTAAATGTTTGTTTTTATTTAGATGTTGAATGTTTTCAAAAAGGCTTTAAATATTGCAGTAATAAACATATTATTACTGCACTGTTATTCAACCCTGCTGTTTTGTGACATGAACAATTTAAAGAAAATGGTTTGTCTTTCTGACTTAACCCTGTTGTATAGGGTTAAGCCTGATACAGACAAATCTGATCATTTAAGGCCTTTAAATTATCAACATGATCAAATCTTGAAAAAACATGAAAAAACTACTGCATTGTCTGATCAATAGTTTATACTTTTTAGCAAGTAAAAGGATTTTAGAATAATTCTAAAAACATCCCTCTTCAAGTTGTGGTAAATGTGTCTTTTTGCTGTGAAATGAGTTTTTTATTGTTATTTTATATTGTTAGTAATATTTCAAGATGAATGCTTGCTGGAATGACTTATCAATACTTAATTTTTACAAAGAAAAATCGTGCTAAATTTTGAGCATCAAATATGATACATCAGACTTTTGAGGAAAGTTTTTGTTCTCTGCATTATCATTGTATTGCATTGCAATATATGTGGCTATTATACTAGGTAACGGCAAAGTGTATTAAACAATAAGTTGAGTTTCCTTGTGCCCAGAATTGATCACTTATGAGGTTTCATGACAGGATGTTGCATCCAGTATGCGTCACTAGGTTTTGAAACAAAGATAAATACTGAAATCTCACCCTCATTTCGTAAAATCCCCATAAGAGTCTTGAGGAAGCCTTCCTGTTTCCCGGCTAAAGACAGAACCTGGATGCGAGACTTCACACAGTCTATGGGGTACACAACCAACCACAGACAGGCACCGCCAAAACCACCACTGAACATCAATGGCACAACACCTGTCAGAAACACGTGGATACTGAGCAGAATTTCCTGTTTATAGAGAAGAATCATCCAAGCTGTTCTTTTCCACAGAAGAATGAAATAAAGGAAAAGGACATTCTTTAAAATATCTTCCACACAAGAAAGAACGTCATACGGGTTTGCAGTGACATGAAGATGAGTATTTGGATTAAAAGAGTCTTTTCACAATTAAAAGAACCAAAGACTTAAACTACTTCAGTCTGTGTGCATTGAATTTATTTAATACACGAGTTTCACAATTTGAGTTGAATTACTGAAATAAATTAACTTTTCCACGACATTCTAATTTATTGAGATGCACCTGTATATATATATATATACACACAACATATACATATATATATAAAAATAACAGTTCTGGATCCGACATGCATATAAAGCCCCCCACATATTACAGCTGTTAATTTAGAAACAGGAAATGAATAATGCAAGGCTGTTACCACATGCTCCAGCTGACAGATCAATGATGGCTTGCGTGACAGGATGTGGAGCCATTGTTAAATTCTTCTATTTTGCATCACTTTCTGGAAAGTGCAGGGCAAAAGGTTTTGCTCAGATTCACCCATATTAACTCACATTTACTATAGTATATACACATGCAGAATTGATTAAGCTGAACAGTGATTCCAACTTTGCTAATGTATCACTTTTTTGATGTAACCTAACCGGTCAAACAGGTTTTGAAAAATGTCTACAAATGTTCACGATTCAGTCCGACTTAATCAGAGAGTTCACTCACACACTGAATAGTTTGCAGTGGCTTCTCACAATGTGACAGGATACTTTAGCAAACAACAAGAACAATAGATCATCACACAGAACATTCACAGAGAAAGCATTGCCATTGTTTTTCTATGTAAACATGTGACAGATTGACGTCTTTTACCATACGCGCTAACGTCTGGCATCTTTTGTAACCGCACATAAAACAGGTCTAGGAGTCTCTAGACAAGGGGTCTCCAACCCTGCTCCTGGTGAACTACAGTCCTGCAGATTTCAGCTCCAACCCCAATCAAACACACGTGAACCAGCTAATCAAGGTGTTCAGGGTTACCTGAGTTATCAAATTAACTTTCAAAATAAGTTTTTGATGGGGGCCCTGTGCCCAGTACACTGGAAAACAATGGTGTAGAAAAGTTTTTACACTTAGACATTACTAGTAAATTTCACAATTTATTACAAAGGAATGGCAAGTAAAACGCGGAATTAAACATTATTTTTCATAGAAAGATTATTTTTAAAGTATTTTCTTGTTAAACATAATCCAATATTCTTGTTAAAAATGATCCAAAATCATTCTCAGTGTGTACTGGTTGAAGACATGCTCCTGCAAGGTACTTCCCAAAAAATATAGGACTAGTGCAAATACCATGATACATATAAAAAAAAAAGAAGAAGAAGGAAAAACAGGTATACCCTGGTCCCACATGTCCAAAAGTGCATATAGTGGCATACAGTAGCACAAAAAATGTAAAGAGAAATAAAAAATAAAATGACCATAACTCGTCACAGAACATTACATAAGTTTATTGCCTAAGTAAGAAGAGGGTATTTATATCTGACCTGTGAGCTCTCTATCAATAGTCTTAATCTTTAAACCAGATTTAGAGGGAATCCTCCCAGAAGGGTCAAGAGTCCCTTTGAGCCCAACACTGACCATCTGAACCTCCTTATGTGCCAACATTCACATGCCAAGATCAGAATGTCTTAGCAACATTACGCTCAGCTACTGCAATCTCACATATGTTCTGCATGATCACACAGAGCAGGTATTCTCACACTTACCGCCCCTTCTTCTGGATCACTTACTGTAGACACTTCTACAGACTGTATCCAACCATGTACTTGGGTCAAGTGCCTCGAAACAAACCGTCGTGTAAAATAAGTATTCTTACTACTGACGCAAAACACTCCTGAAGCCGGTACTAACATTCACACTTCCTCGATCACCACCACAGGTGTGTACATGCCACACAGGCAGGGCAGGGGTGTGTAGGGAGCGGGGGCTTCCTGGAACCATGTGCCCTGGAAATAAGCGAAGGCGGCCGTGTTGCTGTCATATCCTGCAGAAGTTGTTGACTCAACACCAAGATTGTGACACAAGGTCACTTCATCAAACGCGATATTTGAGCACAATAAATTTAATGGACACTGAGGTATTTTAACCACCAGATGGCAGAATAGCCTTGAGTATAGTGCCATCTACCTGAACCTCCTGCTGCTGTGAAAAACACTGGTTTTCAGAGTCCTTAGACTGTATGAGATACCTAAGCATCCAAACTATGTACAGATTACATGCGGTCATGAATTCTTACAAACATTTTATGCAGGTACAGTATGGTCTATTGATATTAATGTAAGAATAAAATTCCCCTTGCACACATAGTTTAGTTTCTTTAATGTAAAAATCATTCAAATCAATAGAATTATTTAATCATGTATTGATATTACATAATATTAAATTCATTTTTTTGCATATATTAAGTAATATATTGCAAATAAGTGTATTTTGTATTTATAATAAATACACCAAAATAAACAGATAATATGTCTTGTCCGCATTTGGTTCCCCCTTTTTGCTTTGATCTTTTGATCCAGATCAAAAGCAAAAAGAGAATATAAGTCCATATATATCCAATATATCCAGTTGTATTAGCATTAAAGAGATCTTTATTCGTAAAGACTCGTAGTTATTCGTCTGTGATCAACGAAAACATCTTGGTTGGAAAGTTAAGCGTCGAGGCAGTTTCTGTTTCTTTTTGTTTTCTCGCTTTGATTTCGATTACTATTTTCTTACAACGTAATTAAACAAACAAAACTAACTGCGTTTGTATACGTACAAGCAATATAATGTAGCTAGAAGCCATGCGGTCAAAATCGCAATTAAGTGTTTTCATAACATCCAAACGTGAAAGTTTGTTTACTAATTTTTAAAGGACGAAAACACCGCTTGTTTCGCTTTCAAAAGCGCGCCTGTGATTGGCTGTCGGCATTGCCGTCAATAATGTATGTAGGCGGCGTCAGGTGACATATGATAGTGAGTTCCAGTAAGCGTACTTAGAGTTTTAGTACACAGACATTCAACAAGCGACAGCAACAGGACTATCACATAATACTAGACTGGACTGGATTACAAAACTTTATAACAACACCAATCTAATGCCGTTCTACCACATTGTTACTTTTAAGTCGTTTCCAATGTAATTAAGTCAGTTTAAAGTAACTGTATTTTCTGTCTGTTTGTTCTTTCGCGTTTCACGTCATATTTTCTTTTGACAATCATATGTGACATTTTTAGAGACAAACAGTATTGCTGGTACCATGGCTGCCGCAGCCCAAAACCAGATGGTCGAGATCGACCCGGACTTCGAGCCGCTCTCCAGACCCCGCTCCTGTACTTGGCCGCTGCCGCGGCCGGAGTTCCCCAACCCCGCCGCCGCCGACTCCAACACATCGTCCCCGGCTCCGTCCGTCAAGCAGGAGCCTTCCAGCAACACGGACTTTATCAACAACCTCAGTTTGCTGGAAGAGAATGAGGACTTCCCTGATCAGAAGCCTCTCATGTTGTGCGGCGATTTCCAGTGCCAGGAGAACTGCATCCACCAGCAGCAAATCCCGAGTCACCAGCAACAGGTGCCCGTGCTGTCCTCTCCGGTGGCCGCCGCCGCTGCAGCCGCTCAGCGCAAAAGCAGCTCGTCCAGACGCAACGCCTGGGGGAATATGTCATACGCAGACCTGATTACCAAAGCCATCGAGGGCTCCCCTGAAAAACGGCTCACCTTGTCTCAGATCTACGACTGGATGGTGAAAAGCGTCCCTTATTTTAAGGACAAGGGGGATAGTAACAGCTCTGCTGGTTGGAAGGTATTTATGTTTTCAGTTTTGGTCTGTACACTCAGTTGCGCCTTGTGTTTTGGGTTTTTACGCCAACCAGTTCAACTTCTGTAAACGCGTCTTGGTTACCAAGGTTCTCATTCAGTTGCGCTCCCATCCAGCTGTTAAGAAAACAAAAATGCGTCTTGTGTGAACGTCCCCATGACATGCGAACTTTTGGGGTTTGCGCAGTTGGTATTGATTCTTGCTGTCCTGAGTTTCAGGGGGTGATTACTCTGTATCTCTCCACTTATTGTTTTAGGATTGTCATGGGATTGTCAATGGTCTCCATTCATAGGACAGATGATTGCTTCTCATTACAGGCAGCACATGGCGAGGTGTTGCAGTGCAGTCAATAGATCAAGTGCTGACCCATGTCACATGACAGGTCCCGAGTAACAAGTGTTTTATAGATATAGCCTGCTGACAGCAAATACTTGTAGGATCTTTCCACATTTCCAGGTAGAACTTGTTGGAGTTGAAGTTAGGACAGGAAAAAAAGGTGGACCCATCCCCAATACAAGACCCCCTAAGTGCCAGACCACTACAAAAGCCACTAAAGGTCTGGTCACATTAGCAAAATTTTGTGGGATAAAAGGTGATTTGTTTATTTTCAATAATGTAGTGAAGTCTGAACTAAGCTCAGACAGATGTCACTTAAACCAAACAGCTTTCTGTTGGTTAACACATCAAACTCATGCAACTAATTTTAACCCTGTATTTCTCCGGCAAGAATTTGCATAACAATGGTAAATATGACCACACCTTGAGACCCTTAAAACCCAGACCAATACATGACCATCTAAGATGCAGACCAAGACAAGACCCCTCAAGGCCCAGATTCAGACCTAGAGTAGCATTGAGAAAATGCAGCATTTATCCAATACATTCATGAAAATTCTAAACTATTTAAGTATTTTTGCCAAATTGGTGGCTAGTATTAATTTGTATGAATCTCATTTGTACTTTTACATACAATCTGCCCACTGACGGATAGATTTAGGGACGGACCTTCATACTTTTTTCTAAAATCTGTACATGTTCGTACAAATCACATTGTATAAATTCAAACAAAATCGCCACCTCGTAACTAAAATAGTTGTTTTCTCATCAGATCTGGTTGAATTTATTGCAATATTCTTTAATCAAGAGAATCAGAATTCAACTTATTTTCATTTTTCCAAAAACAGAAATTCCAATATAGTAAACACATTTTATATTGTTTTGATTAACTGAATAAGTATTGTCAATAAAAAAAAAAAAGCTTAAATGGAATAAATAATGTTTTTAAGGTCATGAAAAGACACCACACAGACTAGAGGTTGAGTTTTTTTTCCCCTGAGGTTGAGTCTTCATTCACTCGAAGTAGAGTTCAACATACTGTAAGTGTGATCCATAAGACTGAGCTTTGGTCATGTTTATGTGTCATGAAGATCGACTGCTCTGCTAGATCAAACACTAGCAGAAGATACGTGGATCCCAATAAATCAGTTCGGGTGACACATTGTCTTACGTTGTTGTACCACCGGTATGCCTGAACCACCCTGGCAACCGGAGAAACAGGAAAACAGTGCTTTTATATCCATGGAAACCTCTTCATTAAGTGGGTCCAAAGTTGTGTTGTTAGGTGTAGTGCATCATCACACTGCACACTATTAATATCCGCGGGATTAACTGTCAATACCCCTCTGATGTTTGCCAAGTATGCAAGCATGGCGGTCTACGCATACAAGGAAAGATCCGCTCCACCCTCTGATTTATTGTGTGTCTGTGTGCCAGCATTCCACGGTTGTCATGCTTTTGTGCATCCGCTGGTGAGGCATTGATGACTGAATGCATTTGGAAAAGGGTGTGTTTTACCTCTTATCTCTGAAGACACAAAATTCTTAGTAGCACAGGCAGCACTCAGCGGCTTTCCCACTCTTATCGGAAGCACATCTGATAAACCCAATGTCAAATCTGTGTGTGTTTGTGTTGAGGTTGTAAAACTGATATGATCTGTGCGGTGATTGAATGCTTAGTACATGTGACTCATAATGGGGCAATGTTTTGAGAACCACAGGAAATTTCCCGCAGGAACTGATCAATTTTATTCTGATCCCATAAACAATGTGGCGCTGGTAATGATCAGTTAAAGGGTCCCTCGGGGGCACAGCTTCTGTCACTCCAAACCAATATGTTGAAAGGAAGGAGAGGCTTGTTGAAAATCATTGGTTTTGAGTTGTTTTAAGTTATCTGTAACAACCAGACACATGTTGTTGTTTTGTTGGCGAATGCTGATATCGATTAATGTTCATTTAAGATTTCAATTTAATTTTTTAAAATGATATATTTAAGATATTAGCAGTAGTGGTAGTAGTAGTAGTAGTATATATATATATATAATTTATATATATCATATATATAAAAAAAAAAAAATGTCTTTAATTAATTAAGAGACTGCAAGGTTTATTTGTATTGCATATACCTTGAAATGAAATAGAGAAATCATAAAATTGATGAAAAACTTTCTCTTTTACATTAATATGAATTTTAATCCAAAATCTTGATGCTGGAGAAAAATGTAACTTTAAACTCTAAGCTGTAACATGTTGGCAGGCATCTTTCTCCAGGAAGTCAGTTCACTTTCGGGGAAGACACAGGGACTCAGGCACTTTGCTTTTTGCCAGCTTTGTTTTCTCCAGAGAGCTGGTAGTCACACAGAGAAAAAAGGAAGGGTGAGAGGGGGAGAAATCTATCAGCGCTGCTCCTTGCATGCTCTGATCATGACAAGAGAATTGAATCTTTGACAGCCCCCAACACCCCTCAGTCAACCCTCAGTGCTGAATCATCTGGCTAAATTGTCAGTTTGTGAAGCAGAGAAGAGCTCTGTATTGCTGCAGTCTGGGCTTCAGTCCAGAGGATAAAGTAACTCTTTTTGACAAAGTAACTTTCAGTTTAATGTCACACCTCCAAAGGGTGAATTCTTGAAGCCAGGTTACATATATACACGTTTATATATAATATGTTAGAATATTATCTATTTTTCAC